TTCCCAGTGGATATGGCCAATGTCCTATTGCATGTCTAATGGCTTAAACGGAGTATAATTTTTTTTGCTGCTCCTAGAGAAGCCGGCTATAGCGACTGGCTATGACCTGGGCGAGCTTCATGTGTTGCCGGGCATAATTGTGGATGTCGTGTAGATGATCTGCAAAGTGCCGCATAGTCGGTTGTGGGTAGTTCCTTGTCTGGGGGTACTCCAAACAGCAGGTTGCAGGGTAGTCCGAGTTCTCGTCCGAACACTAGATTAGCTGCGGTCAAGCCCGTAGTGTCGTGAGTGGATGTCCTGCATGCTAGGAGGAAGAGGGGTAACCTCTCGTCCCAGTCCCTCTGGTGGGATGCGACGACCTTCCTTAGGTGTTCCTCGATGGTTTTAATGTAGCGTTCCGGCATGCCGTCCGACTGCGGATGCAGGGGCGTGGTGCGCGTCTTGATCACTCCCAGGCGTTGCAAAACTTCGTGTAGCAGACGAGACTCGAAGTTACGGCCTTGGTCACTATGCAACTCTCGAGGTATACCGCAGCGGCAGAAGAAGTTGGTGACCAAACCTTCCGCTATTGTCGACTCTTCCTGGCTTGGGATGGCGTAGGCTTCCGGCCATTTTGTGAAATAGCCCAGTGCGATCAAAAGATATCGGTTTCCACGTTTACTCAGCGGGAAGGGTCCAGCTACAGCAATTGCTATCCTTTCGAACGTGGCCCCGACATTGTACTGTTGCATTTGGCCCCTGTTTCTGGTCCGTGGGCCACGGCTGGCTGCGCAGACATCGCAGTGTCTGCACCATTTTTCGATGTCGCTCCTTCCTTGGAGCCAGTAGTACCGCTGCCGAACCTTATTTAGGGTTTTATTGACCCTCAAGTGGCCTCCTGGAGGTCCACTGTGTAGCTCGTTCAGCACGTCCTTCACCCTGCTCCGAGGAATAATTATCTGGGGTACTTGATATCGTCCGTTGGCGGATTCCCAGTTGCACTATAGTATGCCGTTCCTCACCGCGAGTGACTTCCACTGAGCCCAGTAGCTTTTGTACGTAGGACTCCGATCCTCGATATCTTTCCACTCAGGTCGTTGTCCGGTTTCCACTTCCTGTAGGATAGGCCCTGTATCTGGATCGTTTAACTGTTCCTCTCTTAGGGCAATCGGGTCCCAGCCGGCCGCGGGTACTTGCACTGCTCTTGGCGGGGTCGCCTTGAAAGAGTATCGGCGTTGTTGTATTTCCGGCCTTGGCGGTGCCCTGAGGTAAAGTTGTAATCTTGTAGGCGTTGTATCCATCGTGCGGTTTGCCTTTCTAGATTCTTAAAGCTCATTAGCCAGGTTAGCGCGGAGTGGTCCGTGCGCAAGTGGAACTGTTGTCCGTGAATATCTGCCACGTGAGGGGAATTGCGTCTCTGGCCAAGGAACAGAATGGTGAGGTCGACAGTAATAGCTTCACTTGAATGAACAGTTAATTTTCCCCCCACATAAACACTGACTTTCTTCGGACATACCGACAGAGTCCTGGGACGATCTAGTAATTTGGAACCGACGGCTTTGGCTAATACTCTCTGGATAGGAAGTTCGGTGATTGCCAGGGCTGTGTGAAGAAGACAAAACTATCTATTCCCTGTCGAGAATTCAAATTATATTTTTTGGATGTCCGCTTCGTAGCTGAGTCGTTCTAGGGATTGAACCGTTACAGCCCCGACGACGACGACGACGAAAATGATGATGATGATGATCGTAATGTTAGCGAAGGAACCACACATATATGACATGCTTTATTCATTTGTGATTACAATCACAAATATGGCCATCCAACAATATTTTTTGTCAACATATAAATATTAGTAGGAACTGCATTAGGTTATGACTTCTGAGATGAGATGCCGTGTAATTTGGTAGAGAGCTCCATACACTTCGTCCTTAAGGAAGCCCTGGTGAAGATCGAAGCAGGTTCCTTCGAAAGCTTGAGAGCTGTCTACCACGTTTCATTACGTCACATCCTGACACGCAGTTACCGCTTCAGTACCTATCAATTCATTACATTTTAAGCAGCTGATAGTGCAGTAACATACATGCGAAAGGTATAGGGTTTTAATTACATTATTTTTAATTATAAATAAAATATGCTAAGGTTGATCCACTCATCCTCGTGAGGATTACTGAGGAGCTACTTGAATGGAAAAGTAGCGGCTCTGGTCTAGAAAATCAAATCAACGGCCGTGGGGATTCGTTGCGATGACCACGCGACACCCTCTATCCACTAAAGATGTTACTGACTTCGCCGACAGGCGGCGGTCGTACGGTCGGTATGGTTCGCTTGCGGACTAAAGGCACCGAGTTTTCTATGCTAAGGTTTCTTTTTAATGGAAGCAGAGCCTGCGATAGGCTTTTCTTGTGTAAGAATGGTTGTCACTGTACAGAAAATAAACTGTTTAATTTACACACATCCGTAGATAAGCGGATACGAAAGTGTTTCCAATGAAGACGCTAGCTGGGAATCACGTGACTTGTTTTCTGTGTGGTCTTCCTTATGCAACAATACAACAGGGCTTTCTGTGCGTGGTCCGTGCCGATTCTATATAAGAAGCAGTTCAGTTCGGTGTTTCGTCAGGAAGACGTCAGCAGTTTGTATGTTAACCTTGAGAGTGTTATAATAGTTTGTGCAACACAGATGCAACAATCTTGAAAGTGCAATAACGAATTGTACTTACGAGGTGTGAAATTATCCAGTAAATCGAGTTATCAAATAAGAAACCCTTTATTTACTGTCGCGTCATAAGGTTACAGGCGAAAATATGATATAATAAAGAACTTCATGGACTGTACTCAGCAAGCGAGCTATACCGACATAGCGACCACCGCTTGTCGTCGAAGTTAGTGCCAACTTTTACGGATAGAAGGTGTCACGTGGTCAGCGCAACGAATCTCCACGGCCGTTAATTTCGGTTCTCTAGGCCGGAGCAGCTTTTTTCTTTGGAATAGCTCCTCAATTATCATCACGAGGCTGAGCGGACCCAATTCCAGACCCACTACTTCACAGAAAATCTGACAGCGCCGAGGATCGAAGCCGGGACCTCTGTATATTTAGCCAGGAATTCTGACCACTAGTCCACAGAGGCGTTCGCTATTGTAATATAATATGTTGTAATAAGTTTTATTGTACACACTTCTTGCGCTTTAACTATCCATTGGAAGTAACGCATGCATATAAAATACCTTGCTTGTCGCAGTTAAGCTCTGTGGGATTTGTAAGATGTTCAACTGAAACGGAAACCTTCGGAACTAATAAACAGAGTAAGGAAGGGGCTTACTGTGTTACAGCAAACTTTTCTTGGCTGATCAACCACGTCAACGTGGAGTAATGTCTGACGTCTCTGAGACTATCTCTGCTTCCTTCAACAGGAGTTGATGGGATAGGTGCATGCTGTGTTCTCAGGTTATCGAGGTGAAAGTCACATTATTAGTGACGGTAAGTCACTCAAAGCGACTTGATGTGTAGCTTCAAATTGTTGGTCATAACCAGGGCCCGGATTTTGATGACATGTCATCCTTTTTTCTTGTATCCTATGCGATTCTGTTAAATATATAAATCTCGGATGAGCTGCTGGTTACAGAAATGTAAATTTTATAGGTATTTTTCTTTGTCATTTTTGGTAATGTTTTGGACTTTTAAGGGCATTTCTTGCCATTTTTGGCCATTTTAGAATATTTTTCTTCATATGTTTTCTGAAATGTGAATAACATGGAAGCAAAGTGTTCTTTCTTTTCTCCTTTAGGTCATTTTTCTGGATTTTTTTCGGTCATTTNAAGGAAGGGGCTTACTGTGTTACAGCAAACTTTTCTTGGCTGATCAACCACGTCAACGTGGAGTAATGTCTGACGTCTCTGAGACTATCTCTGCTTCCTTCAACAGGAGTTGATGGGATAGGTGCATGCTGTGTTCTCAGGTTATCGAGGTGAAAGTCACATTATTAGTGACGGTAAGTCACTCAAAGCGACTTGATGTGTAGCTTCAAATTGTTGGTCATAACCAGGGCCCGGATTTTGATGACATGTCATCCTTTTTTCTTGTATCCTATGCGATTCTGTTAAATATATAAATCTCGGATGAGCTGCTGGTTACAGAAATGTAAATTTTATAGGTATTTTTCTTTGTCATTTTTGGTAATGTTTTGGACTTTTAAGGGCATTTCTTGCCATTTTTGGCCATTTTAGAATATTTTTCTTCATATGTTTTCTGAAATGTGAATAACATGGAAGCAAAGTGTTCTTTCTTTTCTCCTTTAGGTCATTTTTCTGGATTTTTTTCGGTCATTTTAGGTCATTTTTTTTAATATTTTCAGGTCATCAAAATCCGGGCCATGCATATTCTATTTTTGGGTCATTTTTCTGGATTTTTTCGGTCATTTTAAAAATATTTTCAGGTCATCAAAATCCGGGCCCTGGTCATAACAAAGACCATTCTTTGTCTGTAAATTTGCGGCATTTTTCCCTAGGTATGTTTGTAAAGAAATCTGCTGTCTTCCCAAGGGCGAAAATAGTGGCGAAGAAGGGGCGCAAGATGTCTGATGCAGATGACAACTCTTGTGTAAATATGGCGTGTGAAAACAACACTCATCTGAAATTCTGAGGATAGAAGTGTGGGGGGGGGGCAGAGAGAGAAGAAAGTTTGTGTCCGTATCTTCAGACGATAACTGCACATTGATACTGTTTCTTCTAACGGAAGATTTCATTAGTTTCATCTGTGGAATGAAAATCCGTTTCGGGTCGAGGATATGTTTAAGTTTTAGACAAACTGGATAAACATCAGCACACTTGCAAGTGCCTCGATCTGGTCTGAGTCCACCCATGGGACCTTAAGCTACATATTTCTCCTGTGCTTAGACTCAGAAATGTGACGTCAGTGAAATCGCAGCCCAGGGACTCTCCTATGGCGAGCCATGGAAATATAAACGCAAGGGAAGGAAACAACTGTGGACATGCACATAGCTACTAACGGGGAAAATCTGATGCGGACCAGTAATTTATTTATCACTTAAAAGTAATAGCAGTTAGGATGCAAAAATAGAGTATGACAGGACACAAAGAAGATGATAAAATTGGTTACACTGGAATAATAAAACCAGTTACATCAAATAAACATCAGTTAAATAAAACATATAAACATCTAACAACATTTGGACACGGACCAGAGAAATCCCACAAGAAAACTGAAACTAAAGTGACTATACTATTCAAAACTTTTATTTTATAAACCTAATATACTAATCAGGCTTCCAATAAACAATTCTGACTTAATGCACATAAAGTTGGCAAGTTAATTGTAAAAAATCAATGAAGTCAACAGCAAACATTAAAAATGTGAAACCAATTTCTGAACACATCTACATAACAATGAACAGAGAAGAGTGATGTGTGAATATTCCTGTAATACCATAAAACAAAACTTCAAAAGGATTAATACAACTTATAATAATACGAAAGCATTAGCGTATGTTACTAAAAGGAGTCTTAATCAAGGAAATTATGAAGGTACAATGGTGAAAATTTGGCCGCTAAACATATCACACAGTAAAACGTTCATGTTCTGTAACCAGATAAATTCTTGAAGCAAAATATGTTATTTTAAACACAATAATTCAGTTGATGCAATAAACATTTTCATAGAAATGCAAAATAAGGAATGTCTCTATAAACTCGCACTGTCGCGATGAATGGATGTTTTCTTGCACACATTAAACGAAAAGGTTATCCCTTATGTTATTCCATGCGATGATTGTTAGTTTTCCTCCCACAAGTGAACATTCCCTTCCATATCTCAGGATCATGCTTGTTCTGCACTGTGTGATTTGAGATGCATATTAAGAACGGGACGGCGAGTGAACCTTTTCTTGCACAATTTTCACGAGAAATGCCGTTCTCAACTGTGCACCCTCAGATGATTCTTCAGGATATATCTGTTAGCGAAAGTTTTCTTACACACTTCGCAAGAAAAGGGTCTTTCTCCACTGTGTATTCTGAGATGTATGTTTAGGTTATGGACCTGAGTAAACCGTTTCTTACACACATCGCACGAGAACGGTCGCTCTCCACTGTGTGCCCTGAGATGCCTGTTTAATGTTGAACTCTGTGCGAAAGTTTTCTTACACACTTTGCACAAAAAAGGGCGTTCTCCATTGTGCACCCTCAGATGATTCTTCAGGCTAGTGCTATGAGTGAATGTTTTCTCACACACTTCGCAAGAAAAGGTTCTTTCTCCACTGTGTATTCTGAGATGTATGTTTAGGTGATGAAGATGCATGAACCGTTTCTTACACACATCACACGAGAACAGTCGCTCTCCACTGTGTGCTCTGAGATGCCTGTTTAGGGTAGATCCCTGTGTGAAAGTTTTCTTGCACACGTCGCATGAAAATGGTCGTTCTCCACTGTGAACTCTGAGATGTGTGTTTAGGTTAGAGCGTTTGGCGAACGTTTTCTTACACACTTTGCACGAAAAAGGCCGTTCTCCATTGTGAACTCTGAGATGTGTGTTTAGGTTAGAGCGCTGGGCGAACGATTTCTTACACACTTCGCAAGAAAATGGCCGTTCTGCAGTGTGCGCTTTGGTATAGTTGTGAAAGTTAGACTGACTAGTGAACTTCTTGCAATCTTTGTAAGAAAATGACTCTCTGAGAACACTTGATCCTAGTACTGCACTATGCTTAGGAGTTAAGGATGTGACACACATTTTACAGAGACACGTTGTTTTTCTGTTAATTCCACTTGAATGTTCCAACAAATTATTCTCACGAGATAATGACTTCTTACATATCTCGCAAGAATCGAAGTTTTCTTCTCTGTTTAACAATTCTGCTCCCTGTTCACGAAGAATTTCCTTGGCATTATCATCCTTAATGACATGTGTTGCTTCAATATTTGATGCATTTAATTTAACACTCTGAAAGAAACAGAAATGCTATCAGATCCTGCAGCGGAGTTGGGCTCGGAGACATTTTGCGCTAATACACACGACACCTTTACAAATACTGTTACACAAGGAGAAACCAGAATGAAATTTTGTCCCGGCTTGTTCCTCAAATTTACTAATCCAATACTAAGCAAATACTAGCATTTGTCTGCCAGTTTCAGTGGAAATGTTGCGGGCGTCTCACGCTATGCTACGCATTGGTTAAGCGAATCAAACTGGTCCTGCCATCGACTGGAATTAATGACGAGTGAAGAATCATCCTTTGCCTTGTACGTCTAATAATTTGACGGGAATAGTTCTTGAAATTCTTACTGGTATAGAGCACGTTCAAGCGTGTGTAAATGATATTTCTGTACATAAATTGCATTGCAGGATCATGTTGCACTGCACAGGTCTGACTCTGCTTTTTCCTTTAATGCCGTCTATGTGCAACTTCGGTTACAATTACAAACACTACATATTTCGGCCCTCTTCAGGTGTACAAGGAATCTGCTGCTCAGTGTAAAACAGTTTTGTCTCTTATGCAGTTGCCTCACATTACTTCTGATTACGTCCGTCAATTATCTGTTTTCAATTTGGTGTCCTTAAGCTATACGTCTTTTGCTTTATTTGTAATATGTGATGTGTTATGTTAGAGCTTTGTTTTGAATTTTATATGTCTATTCAGTTAATGTATTTATTGGTATTATTTACGGTATTGTTTGATTTGTTGCCTGTGACTGTCTTGGCTGTTCTTGCTTATGGTCGTCCACCATCATGATCCTTCGGTGGAAGGGTTTCCTGACATTCCTGACATCGGGGGTGTTGCTTCCTAAGATGTTGTGTGTGTTGTGTGCTGCTCTCTGGTGTTTCTTTTCTGTAATGCTTTGAATATTGAGTTATGTGTGTCTGTGTAAATCAAATTAAAACTGTAATATATCACTTCATATATTACAGATAAGGCAAAGACGTTGAGGTCAAGGGAAAGAAAGTGAAAGCAGATGGCTAACCCACATAACCGGAACTAATCCGAGGGAAACACAATAGAAACAAAAAATCATTACAGTGAACAGCAGATTCCATAATTAGAACAACCTGTACATGTGAAGATGGTCGGTCAGACCGATAAGATATAATGTCAAAAAAAAAAATAGACGGTTGAATAGTAACCGAAATTTCATATAGACGGCATTAAAGCAAAAGGCATGGTCACTTATTCTTGTAAATTTGCAGAAATCTGGGATTAAACGGCATTAAATCAAAGGCGTAGTCACTTATTCCTGTACATTTGCTAAAATCTGGGTTTGCCTTCATACTTAAAATTCTTATCCTATGATTATTAGTGTTTTTTTATTAATTGATATTAATTAATAATATAACTGCCTCTCCCTTCAATTTAATTGCATGTAAAAAGCGTTGCTACTTTAAGAAAAATTTGGAACTGGGGGAAACATATGCATACCGTATATTTGTGCTTAAACCTTTAGGAACGTAGCCTCGTAGAACACCAAGCGAGAACTGCGAGAGTAATAAGAGACTGGATATTAGCGGAACAAATTTTTGGGATGTGTCTTAAAGTGAAGGGAATGTCTGTTGTGCCTAAGTGTTTTGAAATTTCGGTTGTAACATGGAGGTCAGTAAGACTAAGTGGTTGTAAGATTTATAGAAATCCATCACATACACAGAGTGAACTGCAATGAAGATAAGTGCACATGATGTAGTTACATGGCACATATACTTTAGAAGAAGACAATTATGATTTGAATAAAGTTAGTAATACAAATGTTTCTGCTATAAATTTATAATTGGTCACACAACACTTACAGCCTGATTCTTCAAAGCAGGAAATGTCCAGTCAACTCGTGTCAGAATTACTTTTGGTACTCGAGTTGCTGAGGAATGCAACGTCCTTCGCAGTCTCGCAAGGCGTACTTCTTCACATGCCATTCTTCTCTTGTTATTCTTCTTCTTCTCTTGCTCTCTGGCGAACACACATATAGTTTAGAGCCTGACACACCAAATACATCACTCTGATATCAGAAAATGAAGCAGTAAAATTTGATATGATATTCCAATACACGAATCGGAAAGTTTGCACCCCTGTCATTGACAATTCCAGTGCTTTTAAATTAATTACAGATTATGCGCTTGCAATGCGTATTTACATATGAATGCATTTTTCAACAGGTTCTATTGCGTTGCACTGAAGCGCAGTTAGTAAAAATTATCTGCTTTCTATAAGCCAATTTCCCAGTCTTATCACAAGATATGTGAGAAAATAGCCGTTGAGCACTTAAATGTTGAAATGGAGTAATTCAGCTGCTGTTCGAAGACAGACTTCAACTTAAGTTGATCCGGAATCGTTTTGAGTGAACGAAGACAGAACACACACACATACCCAGGAGGCCCAACAGTATAACACACGCAGTCACAGGAGCAAGACACAACAAAAGCACAACTCACACAAGATAGTGAAGGAGTGCTCCAACAGAGGAGAATGGGCGTGACTGGCGTAGTGAGGTGCGACGTAGCGATGTGGTATCCTGAACAATTTTAATATTTTTAACGTTTGACAATGTATATGATAGATACATATATTAGTTATTTTAATATGAGGACAAGGCATGCAATGAACTAGTTTGGCGTGGATAAGTAAGCACCTGAAGATGGCATTATTATGCCGAAACATGTAGTGCGAGGGAGAGAAGGAGATAAATGAGTGTATGCACTGCAAGACGGTTTAAATAAATCATGGATGCTGAAAAGTATTTACATAATTTTTGTATATAATACATTTTCACATTACTTATTTTATCGTACATATCGATTAAAACCACGGATTTGGATTAGCAGCAGAAAATTTTCTATTGTTCTGAACCTACTCACGTAAAAATAGGGGATGGACAGTAAATTCTTTCACCTGAAATATTTCTGAATCCTCCACCCATTACAGCAACGCCGTACTGATATCGAGGGCTACCACTTCGAGCGACTATTATAATATGCTGGAGCATGTAGACCCGTTACTGAATAACGCCTTAGCAAACAGACAGGTTCCAACGGTAACGAGTCCGCGCGCAACAATAGAGAAACTGTTGTAAACGATGTTTTCTATGCTGTCCGTCCTAAAATATTATAAGGAGAATAACTGGAGCGAGAGTTCACATAGACTGAGGGCCCCTGAGACTCATGTACATTGAATGAAAGAATATCCTCTTCGTCAGTCATGTAAATTATTTGGGTGTAATCTTCGATAAGAGGATTACCTGAAGACTACACAAAGAAATGATTGAAGTCAATGCAGTCAGAACACTTATTAGAAACTACTCCCTACTCAGAAATGAGCGTTTAAGCGCCAAAATTAAACTAACCCTCCATAAGGCACTGATCAGACCATGGAAAGACTGGTGGAGACACAGTAGACTTAAAAACCTTAACAAGCGCTGTTGTTATTTAAAAAAATTGATCAGCTTTGGCGTTACAATTAAGTGTAATGACGAATCGTATTTTAGAATAATCAACAAATAAAATCTCCAATCCAAACACTGCCAGTTGTCAGTCCACTAGTGAAGACACAGTTCTGCTCTTTTTATTTGTTATTTTGAATGACATGGCAAAATATAGGATGTAGCGACTGGCTACGAAATGGACGACCTAGAGGTCGGAATTCGTGTCTCGTTAGTGTCAAGAATTTTCACTTCTCTGTGTCGTCTGGAACGGCTCTGCGGTCCGCCCAACCTCCTATACAATGGGTACTTGGAGCTCTCTCTCCCGGGACTTGAATCTGGCCACTCCAACTAATGCCGAGTTTAAGAATATTGTGACGCGTTACCTTACGTCCATCGCCGCTCAACGGCTACAATGGAAATTGTTGAGTTCCAAAAGCGAAAATCAAATACAAACAGACCGTTGCGAAGGAGCGTTCCAGAGGCAACGGATTGCCGAACACGTGAGTTTGGAATAGACACTTCCATGGTAACGCAAAAAACAGGGAGCCGTTGCGTAAACAACGCAGAAGCAACAAACGCGTCTCTCCAAAAGTGAACTACAGAGTGTTCGTTGCACCCGTTACGTAACAGGGGACAGTAGAAACGAAACCGTGAGGAATGGTGTCTGGTATCCAGTCCGCAGAACACTTACGTAAGCCGAGAGCTACAGAGAGACAGAAGAAGACAGCAAGAAGTCAATCTTGGGATAGCCGCCGCCAGAGACAGTTGAGATCCAACCACGGCCAAGGATAGTTGAGATGTCGCATTGAGTACTGGGCCAGAAGTCAAGTGACACTGAAAGTGGTGATAGTTGTAAGGCGTGTAAGAGTGAGTATTCAATAAAGTTTCGCTAAATCCGAGACCCACGTAAAGTTATTTGCCGCGTGACATACCCAACACGTGACAATATATATATCTATTCATCCACACCCCCATAATCTTTCACAGTATATTGCTTAGATAGTTATGCTCAGGGACAACTTTACCTTATCTGACATATAGAATAATATATCTGACATGACACGGACCGCATATGGACCACTTCGTCTAACAAATTTTGAATCCAACGGAACATGTAGTCAGAAGAGACGGTACTCGCTAGGCTACGGCTTAGTAAACACGT